AAATAACTCATGCCCATAAAAGAGGGAGAGGGAATAAGCATTTATTAAACACATACAATGGGTATTGTGCTAAGTGCTGTATAGACATTATGTCAGTTCATTCTCACAACAACCATGAGAGGAAAGTGCTATTATGATCTTCATTTTATAATTGAAGAAAATGGAGCTAACCGAAGTTAAATGACTTGCTTAGGGTCACGTGGCTAGTAAGCGTCTGGGCTGGATTTGAACTGAGGTCTTCCTGAAAATTGGCAAATATAACATTCAGCTACTTAAAAATCAGTGTTGGTATCCCTACAGTGATGCAGACTGTAACCTATCTTTGCCTATCCTTCTTATATGACTCATGTTTATTTTAGCATTTATGATAAAATATAGAAATGAGTAATTTTAAGGTTGGGGATGCCATGAGAAAAGAGGAATGTTAAAATATTGTTGGTGAAGCTGCCTATTGGTCCAATCATTCCAGGGTGGGGAAATGGCTGAGGAATAGTGGGAAAGTCTGTGGAATTGGAAGCAGAGCCAGAAAAAGAATAAAGGATCTTGGGCCTGGTGGCTATTCTTAAAACAGAGGTTCTGAGAGGCACTCATCAATGGAGAAGAGGTAAAGGGATGTTCGTAGATGAGAAAGAAACAAGTACTGAAAGGAGTTCAAAGATGAAAAGGCAGTAGAGATATGGGGTGGAAAAGCTGTGAGATTCAGAAGCAGAACTGGAAGAGGAATGGACATTAGAAAACCTCATCCAAGAATTAAAATGGCCCAGATTTATAACAATGTATTAGTAACACAACAGGAAATGTCAAAACACAATAAAAAGCTTGAAAAAAAGAAGAAAATGTAAGAAATATTATATCAAAAACAACTGACCTAGAAAACAGGTCAAGGAGAGAACTCCTAAGAATTATTGGACTATCTGAAAATCATGATAAAACCTCTGGATACTAGATTTCAAGAAATTATAAATGAAAATGTCTCAAAATTATTAGAACCAGAAGGCCAAGTGAAAATAGAAAGAATGTACCAGTCATCTCCAGAAAGAAACTCAAAATGAAAATTCCCATGAATGTCATAGCTAAATTCAGAGCTTCTAGACCACATAAAAATATTACAAAGAAAGAGTTAAAAAACACAAGAATCACAATAAGGATCACACAAGACTTAGCTGCCACTAAATAAATCAGGAGAACTTGAAATATGTGGTTCAAAATGGCAAGAGTTAAAGGCTTAAAACTGAGGATAACCCCCCCACCCAGCAAAACTAAGTCTAAATAGAGGAGTGAGGGAGGGGTTAGGAAGGGATGTACCTTTAATGGAACAGAGATTTCCAAACATTCCAGATTAAAAGATCAGTAATGAGTGATACTTAGAAATGGAAATTCAGGCATCAAGAGAAATATACAAAGGTACACATATGTGTTTAATTGAAAGTAATGTCAGGATGAATTACTTTAAAATGTTAATAGGGGTATAAAAAATAAATGTCTTCTCAGAACCCTAATCAAATGGAAGAAAGTAAAAATGACAGAGGGTTTGTGAGTGGTCTTGTTCTTTTTAATAGTCGTGGACAGAAATGGAAAGGACAGATGATTATCCTTGGGAAGAAAGGAGCAAAAAGGGGAAGGAAATCCCTATAGAATAACAGAGCTACATAAGATGGAGTATATAGTCATGGCGGAAGGGGTGGAGTAATAGGCATCCCATGAACCTCACTTTCATTTAAGCTGGTTAAAGAAGATTGAACAATCACACACATTCACAGGTTTTGATATAAAAAACAGACTCAAAATGGAATAAGAAGCAGGAAGGACAAAGGTAGAGAGGAATCTAAAAGAGGACAGGATAAGTAAAAGTAGTCATAAGTAAAACAAATTCTAATGTTAGAGGGAAGAATGTGAAGGGGAGATTAAAAGGAAAAGAAGAAAGTAAAAATCTGGAAGAGACGATTTACAACAGAGAGGAAACAGGCTGTTTTACTTATAATATCACATAGGCAAACTCCCTGAAAAAGTATAAGAGGACAAGATGGAGGGAAATTAAAAATCAATTAACATAATTGTGAATATGAATAAGATGTATCTACCTGAAAAAGGGTAAAGGATAACAGCATGGATTAGAAAACAGAAACTGACAATATGGGATAAGCACAGTGGAGCAGCATATCACCCCAAACACCTGTGGCCTTGTGGTATGAAAAGCATAAGGTGTTCTGTGTATCTGAGTTGGCCAAAGGCATCCCCTATGTGTCTGCTCACCTCCCACCTATGTATATACACTCTTCCCACTGATATATGTGTGTTTATGGGACAGGTGCATGAAGTTTATAGAGAGAATATCCTGTTGCTACTTTTTTTTAAATTAGGCTTTCATGAAAAGCGTACACTTTTATCCATTTGCAAGGAATTTATATTTGAATGGGAAAGATAACATGCAAACAATAGATACATGCAAGGTACATTCAGAGCACATAGGTAGCCTTAGAGGGAAAAGCTCCAGTAGCAGTTGGGGGGGGGGTGATGGGAATGTTCTTGCAGAATTTGTGTTTGAACTGAGTCTTGAAGGAAGCCAGTGATTTTAAGAGGCAGGGGCAAGGAGTCAGAGCATCCCAGGCACTGTGGATAGGAAGTGTGAAGACATAGAGATGGAGGAAGTGTTATGCGCAAGGAAAGCAAGGAAGCCTGAATGGATGGATCAGAGAATATGTGGAGGGAAATCAAACATAAGAAATTAGAAAGGTAGGAAGTGGCCAGTCAAGGAAAAGCTTTAAATGCCAAAGTATTTATATTTCATCTTGGAGGAATAAGGAGCTAGTAGGGTTTACTGAATAAAGCCTTGACATGATCAGCACTACACTTATTAGGGAGAGACTTGAGGTAGGGAAACCAATTAGGAAGCTATAATGGCAGTGCAAGTGAGAGGTGATGAGAAAGTGAAGTGGGGTGGTGGCTTTATGAGTAGGAATATAGAACAGATATTGTAAAAGTGGAAAAGAAAATACAGCAAGAGGTGGATTTGGCAACGGATTGGTTATGTGGGGTGAATGCTAGTGAGGAGTAAAGAATGACATCAAGGTTGCAAACCTTTGTGACTGGAAGGAAGGTAGTGCCCTCAGCAGTTGAAAGGGAAGTTCAGAAGTGAAGAGGATTACGGGAAAGATGAGTGTTTTGGGCTTGAGAAGTTGTGGAACAATAGAGTACCTGGGTAATATTTCTGAGGAGTACATGCTTCCACGTGAGAGGATTTGCAACAGGTGTAACACGTTTCCTGTCTCACATCAGGAAGTTTATCTTCTGTCTCTGAAAAATTCAGTTAGGTCACTATTAATGTATTTCCTTTTATGTATGGCAGATCTTAAAATGTGTCTTAAAATTTATATTTTATGGTCCATAACTACTTTTTCATGCTTTTGTCACTAACCCCCAAACTTACCCATAACTAGGAATGTTCTAAAAATTTTAATGTCTTCATTTTGGTGGGTGCCAAAATGCCTATTATTTGATTTTTTCCTTACTAAATTCCAGGAGGGTAGCATCTAAATCAAGCATATACAATGGAAACCTACAAGTATGTGTGTGCATGATAGGGGGCTCATTTGTCTTTGGCAAGGACATTATTTCTCCTGTTACCTTAATTATTAAACAGATGGTACCTCCCTTCATTGACTAGCTGCCCTGGTTGTTCTCCACATGACATGTGAGTTCTGCATTTCTGGCTGAGACCAGTTGCAATGGTACTAATTCTAACATACATGTGTGTCTTATCATTAAAATCTCTAATAGCAAAAAGGAGTATAAAGAGTATAAAGGAACCATTCATTTAATAAAATCATATCTTAAAGATCCAATTTCACTTTTGTTTTGAAAACTATGCATCTATATCAGAATAAAGTGGCATATTGAAGCAATTAGCCAGATCATGTAGACTAAAATACTTTCACCTGAAATATGAATTTAATTAGGCAAAGGTGGTTTATTAATTATCACCATCGTTTTCTGTGGGGTTGAGTTCAGTCAAAGAACATGAGAGTGTTTTAGAATTGCATGTAAGGGCCCTTGCTTTGTCTATCAATGAAAGCCCCAGCAGCAGAAGGGACTACTGAGGGTCTGGCACACACTTATTTAACAGCCTATTTGTGTTGTTGTCATAATTGTTAATCATCATAACCTTTGATGAAGTCAGTGCTTGGTTATATTTAGAAATTGCTGTTAGTTTCCAAAACACCTTGTTATTTTTGTGTGACATCATTGCCACCCATTTAAATCACAGATGTGATTATGGTACTAATTGTTTGGCACAAGTTTTTTGTTGTCAATATAAAAACAATTTTGCAGTGACAGGAATTTGGGTGACATGGTCCAGTCTACCCTTTGGAGGAACTGATGTTTGTTTAGAACTACTCTAGACACCTTAACCTTTTGAAGTTCCCGAAAGTCTAACCTCAAAACCCAGTTTTGCTTTCAATAGTCAATAACCAAGGGATACTCCTGACTCAGAATTCTTTTGTTTCGTTACTGACAAAATTTCAAAAAGAAAGGAAGTGACAACCAGGAAAACAACCCTTCATCTTGACAGCAATGATGATAAAGTGGTCTTTGTAACTTGTGAAATTGTCCATCATTTACACCAACAAGAACCACAAAAGGTTTACTGTTTAAAATTTTTTTTTTCAAGCAGGTTCATTCAGAAATGCCTCTTGAAATTGTTTTGCTATTTAAATTAATTTGTGAATGAATGTATGGTAGTTCTTCAAAAGAGTGAAATTGTGGTTGGTTTCTTAATTTTTAAATGACAGAAGGGAGTGATTTGGCTACCCAGCACCCTCTCTGCTTTTAGGAAGCCAGACAGATTCCCTTCCTCCAAATACATCTAAAAAGTTAACGACAACGGGAAAGCAAGTAATTTGATCCTAAGTTTCTGAACTAAAATATTTCTTGGTTGTGGAGAGAGTTCAGCTTAGCGGCTTCTCCTGCGTGTTTATTGCGTAGGTCCTAGTCAAGAGATGAAGAGCAATACAGAAGTAGCGCCAGGAGCAGCGCCTCCTCGGGGGTAGTGGCAAACACAGAGAGGAAGTCTGTTTTTCAGAATTGCCTTAAAAAAAAAGGCGAATAAGAGACCGCCAATTTCTGGCTTTCTTGTTTTAGGATTACTTTGCTCAGGGATTGCCTAGATCAAAGTGTGACTTTCCTCAGGCGCTTGCATCTGCTTAGTTTACAAAACTGCAAATCCCCAAGACTAACACTGCGCCAAAAAGAGAAAAAGCACATCCCATTTTCCCTCTTACCCTCCCTTCCTTTTTTTCATTTCTCCCTTCCTCCTTCCCTTTTGCTGTTTTTCTCTCGAAGGGTCTGTCTCCGCGACTGGGTTTAGCAACTTCTTAATTATTTTCTCATCCATCCATTCCCCTTCCCTTTCTTCTTCCTCTCCCCTCCTCTATCAGCTTTTCGATTTCTTTCTTTTTTTTTTTTTTTTAAAAACTGACCTGGACTGGCGCCCCCCGCCTTCATCCCACAACCCAGCTTTCCTACTTAGCCCAGGGGAATGGCGATTCTAGTCTGGCGGCGGTGCTGGAAGGGACTGGAGCAGGAGAGGAAAGAGTGATAGAGAAAGGACAGGGAGAAGAAAGGGAGGGGGGCGGAGAGACTCCATCTGCTTTTGGAGCTCAGCTAAAGGCTGGGGCCAGCGCTAGTGAGTTGCAAGGAGATGGCCTAGAGATTAACTAGCACTTTTGACTTGTCCTTCTACTGCTGCTGCTACGATTGCTGCTGCTTTGACTCCAGCCCTCCGCTAGCACGCGAAGGATGCATTTCACAGTTTTAAAAGACCTCAAGTAAGAATCCACCCGGGAGAATGTGTATGGGTGAGGGAAGAGACTTTGGGGGGTGGTTGTTTAAAAGCTCAAGAAAAGTAGGGTCGTTTTCTCCCATGCCAGCTTTGAACTTTCAAGAACCCCTTTGGTAGCATCTTATTCTCCCCTCCCCACCCCCATTCTTCCTCTCCCTCCACTTTTAGTAGCAAGTAATTGCTTATTGTGGAGCTGCAACTTAAGGCGATTTGGGGAGGGGGGTTTAAAAGAGAAAGAAATTAAGGCAGTAGGAGCTGGTACCCCATTTGGTGTTTTAGTGAATAAGGCTAAAACCATGGCTCCGACTGGAGAGGTTGCTGATGTCGGTGATGAATCCAGCAGTGGCAAGGAGGCTGAGTGTCAGATCCCGGGGTCCGATTGCAACGGTTACCCTTGTAACGCCAAGCATTTGCCCCTGAGCCCTGCTAGTCCCTCGAGACCGCCCCGGGACCCAGGCTGCCAGGTCCGCTGGGGAGACTTGGTCTTGAACAAGCTCCGGAGCTCCCGGAAACTTTCCTCAGCGCTCTGCGCTGGCTCGCTCTCCTTTCTGCTGGCGGTCGTGGTGAGGCTGGTTCGAGGCGAGATCAGCTGTGACCTGGAGGAGAGTCAGGAGGAGGCGGAGGCGGCGGCGGTGGCGGCGGCGGCCGCAGCGGCGGAGGAGGAAGCAGCAGCAGCAGCAGCAGCAGCAGCAGCTGAAGGGGGCGTCTTAAATCTGCCTCGGGGAGGTCCTCTGAGCGGAGGCTGGCAGCTCAGCTCTGGGCTGCAGCCCGCGGCGCTGCTCTTCGGTTTTCTGTGCGCCTTTTTTTGGATGGGCTTGTACTTGCTGCGCTCCGGGGTCCGACTGCCTCTCGCGCTCTTGCTGTTGGCCGCCTGCTGCGGGGGGGAAGTAATTGTCCACATCGGTCTGGGAGTCCGCGAGGATCACTTGCTCTCCCTCCCCGCCACAGGGGTGGTGCTCAGCTGCTTGGCCGCCGCGACATGGCTGGTGCTGAAGCTGAGACAGGGTGTCCTCATGATCTTCTTGATTAGTGCGGTGAGGACCGCGTCCTTGATTTCTTTAGAGAGGGTCAAGGTCGCCTGGAGGCCATACCTGGCTTACTCAGCTGGGCTTGTGGGGCTGCTTCTAGCCAGGTACCCGGAGAAAATCTTGCCCCAACCGAGAGAAGCCGCCCGGAGAGAGGATTTTGGCACCCAGCTGGTTGTAGGGACTAAAGAAGAGGTCTCGGTGTTGAAGAGGAGGAGGCGGTCCAGCTCCATGATCTCCTCCGAGATGTCCGGCTGCGGCAGCAAGTCTCATCGCAGGACCTCCCTGCCCTGCATACCTAGGGAACAGGTAAGGACTTACTCCTCTCGCGTCTGAAACACAGCGGTGGAGAAGAAACAGGGGCAGGGTGGAGAGAGTTGGAGTGCTGTGAGGCACAGTAATAAATGGTCTTTGCAGCAGGAAGGCACAGAGGCTAGGAAAAGAGACATCTAAAAGGCTTGGAGATGGGCATCAGTTTCTCTGACCGTGAGCACCTTGTCACTTAAACAGTCACCAACATGGATTCAGGGCAAAACAGAAGATCTCTAGATGGTTGCTCACAGCTGTTGCAACTTTTAAAATTTCCTACACCTGACTAGGTCACCCATTCTCAAACTCTTTAAAATGTGTTGACTTCCTTTCCTTCTTTATTTTGAAGTGATGTTTTGAATTAATGAAGTTTAGTTTTAAGTGGTGGACGATCTTTTCAAAACGTGGCCTTTGTTGTATGTCTTCCGTTTTTCTCATACAGTGGTTCATTGGTGGAACGAAGATAAACAGTTCTACAGCAAGGCTTGTTTGAATTAGTGCTGTCAATACAAAACTATGGAAGTGTCACAATTTGTTTTATTTTGAAAAGAGGATATCTGAGGTTCTCCAATAGGTTATAAATATGTTGGAATTTTTTTTGGGGGGGGAATAGCTATTGTATTATAAGCTGACGCTAATAGACACTCATTTTGGTAATCATGCATTTGTGAATTGTAGGATTATGGAAACAGATAAATTGTTAATGTGGTTTTACAGGACGATTTGATGATGTATCCAAAGATTGGATTTAAAACATTTTTGTACATCTATGCAAACTATGTACATAGGTTAGAGGAGACATTTGTCCAGGATTGTAGTTAACAGAATGCATAAATTCCTTTTAAGTTTAAAAATTGCATAGCAATTAGCTTCCGTAGATCAGTGACCTAGCAATCATCCTTGAAGTTCTTGAAAACTGAACTGTTATACCCTTATTTAGGAAAAAAAAACCTTTTAAAAATAATTTAAATAGGAAATGATTGTGCATACTTTTGTGTAAATGTCATTCTGACATTTACATGTCTGACATCCTCTGAAATTATGAGTAGTTGAGGACAAAATGAAAATCATGAGATGCTTCTTGGGGTCCAGTGTCTTTTCATTGCAGTTCTAAAAAACATTTCCTGTAACTTAAAAAGAAACAAACTTAATTTTTTAAACAGTGATCATTTATGAGTAGAGATCATTTCAAGTATTTTACTGAAGTATTGTGTTTTGAACAGGTCTGACACAGTGTCAAAGAGGGAAAATAGGGGATAAAATATGGATTTACATTTTTCAACTTTTGAGACTAAATGATAATTAATGTTTGAAAGACTATTGATTGAGAGATTATTCTAAAATGTGAAAAAAAACACTTTTTTTTCCAGGTTCTTAATTTGGTTGTGCAAGCAGTTGAGCATTTTCTGAGTAGTAGGAAGTCACCATATGGTGTGGGTAGCTACTTTTCATTCTGAAAATGAGTTGATTTGTACATATATTTGTGGTTGTTTATATTATCATTTGGAAGAGTAATTCACTATTACATACTTTACGTTTGTTTTAAAATTAAGCATACTTATTTAACATATTGTCTAGATAAAATAAACATTACTCTGTGTAACTAAATTCCAAAACTGTGGTACATATCCCCAAACTGACTCTATTATTCTTAATAGGAACTATAGCAATGCTAAGAGAATGTTAAGAAAGTTAAATAAGGGGAAGACCATTTATTTTTACAGGTACATGGAAGCATATCTTTCTACCTCTGGCATAACAGTCTAGCACATATCACTTCATTTATCAGATATTTGGAAGTGAACAGCATATAAACAATTTATACATTTTTAAAGAAAAGGTCACATTTCTTTGATTTCATCATGCACAATTCCTTTCCAATGCATTTCATTCATATATGTAAATTTAAATTCAAGAGCTTTCATATTTCCATTCAGAGGCCAAGTTTCTATTTTTCACTGTATTAGATATTGAATAGACTTAAGACAAGTAAAGTGCCTGAATAAATTGTGTCAGGTTTTACATTACCTTTATTTTCTTCTTGTTTTTATATTTACATTGATAGGTGAAAAAAATTGACTCTCATTTAAAGAAAATGTCTGAGGTTTAAGGCTTTTAAAATTGTTGATAATTGAGAAGAGTATTACACCATTCTTGTCATGTGGAATAGAGTAATTAAATTATTCCAAGTCATTAACTTTATTTGGTTACTATTTTTAACTGTATTATTTGTGAAAAATATTATTCAGTGTGCAACCTCATCAATAATGGTTTGTAACAAAACTAAAATTGCATCTCTGTGAAATTCAGGTCCTTGAAAAATTTAAGAAACTATGGGCAAGTATTCCTCTTTTTAGAATAGTTTTTTTTTTCTTTCTAAAGTGAATATAAGATGCTTCATAAGCCGGGATAGCATATTCTATCAGCATAGCATTTAACCTCCACCAGTGAAATTTTGGGTCAAAACATTCACCCAACCCTCACAAATTACCCAAAGATGTAGAATTGATGAGGAAGCATATAATAAATCACACAAAGAGAGAGAGAGAGAGAGAGAGAGAGAGAGAGAGAGAGAGAGAGAGGAGAGAGAGAGAGGAGAGAGAGAGAAGGAAAACATCATTTATGTTGCAAAGTGTACCACTGTCTTTGACACTTTTTATAAAAACCAGTAATTGACCCTTCCAAATGTGCCTCTGTTTGTTAACTATTAATGATTCCATTCTTGAAAACAATTTCTACTCTTCAAACTTGAAAAGGATCACAAAACACTACAAAGTAATAAATTGGACTTAGCCAGGAACTTTCAATGGCAGTATATAAGAAAGCAGAGTGCTCTGATAAACTTGATAACCTATTTGGACCTTGACCATCTTAAGTTGTAAGGGTTAGAGAGGGTGAGCACAGCTTACTCTTGTCTGTATACCTTAAAGTGAACTTTCAGTTCCTTATAAAACTTGTCTTCACTCCTTCCTTCCTTCCCTCCCCTAACTATTCCAAGCCCTTAAAGGAGAGGAAGACTTTAAGGCAGAGGTCGTAGCCATCAATTTAAAGGGTTAAGGGATTTCAGGAAATATGGTACAGTGGAAAGTGTGCTGGATTTGGATTCAGAGGATCTGGTCACAGATCCCACCTTTGATGCTTGTTACCATTCTGGGCCTCAGTTACCTCTGCTGTTAAATGAGAGGGTTGGACTGACCGATGTATGAGGTTTCTTCCAGCTCTAATTTTGTGATCCTGTAGTGATGATCTAGGATGACTCCTTGATTTTTACATATAATGGAATTTGGGGGCCTAGACAAGTTTAAGTGGCTTGTCCAAGGTCACAGAGGTAATAAGTATCAGAGCCAGGCTACCAACCCAGGTTCTTAGATCCCAAATCCTGATCACCTTTGACTGTACCTTGCAACTACTTTTGTCTTAAAGGAGAAAGCAGCAGTAGATTATATGGAATGCAGAACAGTGTCTTGGCATGTAGTTTTTAAGAAAGTTCATCAAATAGTATGTTTATCTATATGGCATGTAGGCTAGTTGCATTTGAAAAGAAGTTTTCTTGATTCACTAAAGAACCAAAAATACACAGGTTATTAAATATATGTGTGTGTGTGTGTGTGTGTGTGTGTGTGTGTACACACACACAAATGCATGTGTACATATATACATAAATCTCACAGGCCATAAAATATTTTGCTAGACTGAATATTCAGGCAGTTTGTTATGCATGACCTATAAACAGATAGTACACATTATACTTCAATTATGCATATTTTATTAATACATCCCTTTAACATTTGGATTTTTTGTTTGAAAGATATCACTTTTGTCTTTACACATCAAAGAAATATCTGCTAGTAGAACAATGATTACAGTGAACATTTCACATTTCATTTAAAAAAAAACTCCATACCAATACTATTGATTTTCCTGAAATTGTGATTTTTGACAGAAATATATATTGTAATTTAGAGGCATGTACCCCTTTCCATTTTGTGTATGTACACTTTGTGTTCATACATTTGTGACATTTATAGCAAAGGAGGCTGAATTTGTCATTGAGCTTGGATTAAAAATATATAATGGTGGACATTTAGGTAAAAAAATCTTTAAAAGTTCAAATTGTGCTACATATTAGATTACAACTTTTTATTTAAAAAATCCTTAAGAAAAGGTGAGGGTAACTGAGATAAATTAAAACTTTATCAAAACTTGGAAACATTTGAAGCATGGATGTACATTATACAAGCAGAAATAGCTGGAAAATTTTCCAGTGGGGAGAGGACGGATACATGATTGGCTGAAAAGATGAGATCCTGTTGCAATAAATGTTTTTGAAATTAATCTAAGCCGTGGTCCTAACTTTCATTTCTCAAATAAAAGAAAGTTAATGGTAACATTCCCTGTTTATATTCACATGCATGATTTTATTTCAGTCATAACTTAGGACATATTTTAGTAGTACTAGGCTGTTTGTAGTGTTACAGATGGTAGTACTGATGAGTTTATTTCACCTTGGTGACAAAATGAAATATGAATGTCAATATCATTAACGCCAACTCTTAAAAACAAAAAGGCAAAAATCCAATTTTTTCCTAGTAGGGGTAAAGAGGAAAACTTTTTCCCCCCTTTCCTTCTATTTTTTGGTCATATATTTTATAATTTCATTTTTGAGTTTAGATGTTTAAAGTGTGATTAGTAAAACCACTTTTACTGTCAAGTCAGTGAATCTGTATAAACTTATAGAGCATGGAAGGAGTCAAAACAAGAACTTTGTTCTTTCTGTACTGAAACTAAAGTGTAAAAAAGTGAAAAGCTATGGAACTGAAAGAAATTCTGTGTATGCTGGGCTGTCATGTTTAATTAAATAAACAGGCCAGAACAGTGACTCTGTGTATGAAATACATTTTGAAAAGCCTAGGGGGCTTTAAACAGCTAGGGAAGCAAGAGGGAGCAATATTAGCATGAAAAAATATTCCTTACATTTGTAATGAGTGACATTTGTGTGA